AGACTTCTCTTGCCATGACACTCTAGGCACGTGCTTTGTCCCCCAGAATAAGCCTCTTTGCTTGCAAGGCATTTGCAGGGGCCTTGGTTGCTGAGCTTACTTCTGGGAACTAGACTCTGCCCCACACGCCCCCTCTGAATTCTGAGAGCCATCAGTGCAGATTCAGCACAGGCACAGACCAATCTCCTAGGCCCTCTCTATCCATATGGACAATAACAGTTGACATTCGGAGGGGTGACCCAAAGCACTGCAGATTTCATAGGAAAGAAATAAAAATGTTGCTTTAGTCCATATTTTACTTATTAAGGCAGAAAGTAGAAGAAATAAAGCAAGAATATCAACCACAAAGGTTGAAACAAAAAGATGCTTTGATACAATTCTCACTTACACAGAAAATTAAGGTCATGGAATTATAAGCTCAATGAGCCGAGGGCTGTGTCTCCTTAGTTCATCAAAGTAAGTCCAGTGCCCAAGAGCATAATAGGTGCTCAGTTAATACTGCAGAATGAATGAAAACAGAAATCAGCCTAAACACAGTATTGGATCAAGAAATTTTCATTAGTACATTATATATGTTATAGGATCTGTTTTTAGTCATTTCATAGCTTATACTTTTTAATATGTCAGAATAGGAGAGGATAATTAATAAAAAATAAACACAATAAACTTAATAAGCATTAAATAACGCAGTGATTGATATCATGGATCTTAATAGGAAATATGAGTGAAACACATGTGCCTGTGTGTGAAATATCAGCAAAATGATAGTGCATAGAAGGAAATATGTTATACTTTTGGCAGAGATTGAGAGATTTTCTATGATTGAGATACACACAGGACTAAAGATAATAATGCTTTACGTTTCCAGAATACTTGACAATTTACAAAATGCTTCAACATCTGTGATCATGTTTGATCCTCACAACAAGATAGAAGAACATAGTTAAAGGAAGTTATATGCATCACTCTTTTATAAGAAAATGTCTAGTGGTTTATAAAATACAACCGCTTTCAAAGAGATTTCTGCCTTATCATTAACAGTTACAATTCAACTGATAGCATAGAAAGAGATAGGAAAGATATTCTCTACGATAAAGAAAAATTGAAAGGAAGGAGCCTATAACGGCGAAGTTCATTTACCGCGATGAAGACAGACTTCTATTATTGAACCTGAGACAATTATACAATACAATTCCAAGAGATAAGCAATGAGCTACCGGAAGTGAGTAATGAGACTTGAGCTTTGGAGTCTAGTTTCAGCTCACTGAAGAGGAATTATTACCACACTTACCATTTATATTGCATTGCATTGATTGTAGTGCATGTCAAAGTAGCTATAACTCTGGGAATCCAGAGCAGCTACTGGGAAGAATTCAAGGGCTTATAATAACAGCAAACCGGGGGATGCAAATTCTGCCAGCCCAGAGCCTCCTTCCAACACGTGCTTCTCACTCCTGCTTCCTTGCCTTCCAACAGTGTTGTCCCTGGATATCTTGCTGGAGAGTTTGGTGAGTTGCTTTGGAAACCTACATAACATTTCTGTTTAAACAGAAAAATTCCTCTTTTAAGTAAGATGATACATTTCTAAAGTACTTTTATTGTTTTCCTTTCTTTTTTGTCCTTTTCACAAAATTAATATCTCTCGTGTTAAAATTTTTTCAGATGTTATAGAAATACATAAAAATGTTACTTTGGTCAGCATTTTATTTATTAAGGCAGACAATAGAAGAAATACAATTAGCAAGTTGCACCCCCGACTTTCTTCAAGTTAATCTCTGTTAAGAATTCAGTGTAAAGTCCAGGAGATCTTTTCTTCTATGCACACACTTAATTCGTCAATAACTTTTAAAGATCTCTGTACTATATTTTGGCTATCTTATATCAAGCGGCATGGAGAAAAATGACCAATATGCGACCCTTATGTTTTAAAAAGAATTCAGCCTCATACTTTAAGAATAGAGAAATTGAAGAGAAAATGTTTTAAAAATAGACAGGTGAAAAAAAAGCCCCTCAGTGTTTGGAACTAGCTCGAGTGAGGGCTACCCGAATTCTGGGAACTTTAATGCTAACAGGTTTCTAGCTGTCAAAATTTGAAATAGAATCTGCAGCGGCCAAAAGGTTTGAAATAAAAATGTGGTCAGACACATCACTGGTATGAACCTTCAGCTGACTAAAACAAACACCAAAATAGCAATGGAGTCTTTCTCAGAAAAACTTGCTTTCCCAGCAGCCTCCTTGGCTTGCATGACGGTTCTATTACTTTTTCCTGAAAGGGAATCAAGCTTCCGTTGAAACAACAGTCCTGCTCTAATTACATGGAGCACCGAAGTTCCACGACTTTCTCATCACTGGTTTTCACGCTTGGAAATACCTGTCTTACTGTTTTAGAATTAGCACCCGTGTCTTATAGAAACTGTGCTGCAAATGTTTGCAAGTCACCTGTTTGGAGCTTATATCATGCATTCCCATAGAAAATGGACTACAGGGGATTTGGGAGTTCCTAGAGCTGGCCAGTTAACCAACCAGACAGTACCTAATTGCGTGCACTGTAGAAGTATCGGAAGTATGAGACCTTGGGTAACGCTGTCTTTACAATACGTTTTCTTTAAGGTGTTCTAACTTGGAGCGCCTGGAACGTGGTTCTAATTTCAGGACCAGGGACGCCTTTTCCTTGTGCCTTGCAGGTTTCCTGGGCCCTGGAATCACCTTCTGTCGGGACCTGGGACAGCAGTCGCAGTGGGGGAAAGGAGGAGACTCCCCCTGCAGCGAAGAATGGGGTTACAATCCCCCCAACACTCCCTCACCCACTCCACCAGCCACCAGCTTGCCCTGTCAAAGGAGCTCTCAGTCTCTCCTCTTCTGGGTGTGTATTTGAGGAGGATCCTCAAAATGCAAATTGCTCACCTTAGACAAAGATTACCGTGGGTTTGCCTTAATTGTCTCTTCTGCTCTCTGTTTACTGGGAAAGTGAGCTTCCCTGTAGGAAAGAGGAAAGTTGTCCTCTACTTTGGGAAGTCAGAAAGAAGGTAGCAGTTTGTAAGCTGCAGCCTCAAGAATGAAGCATGTTTGCAGTTACTGTCTCAAAACAGAAGCAGCCTCTAGAGTACAGCCTCTGAAATGTCCCTAGATTTAAAGATATGTTATTGCTCTTTTGTTCCTTTTAGTAAATAGTAACAAAATCCTTAAAACACAAAGTTTCTGTACTTTTGGGGGGACAGCAAAGGCAGGAAGAGTTGAGGAGTCGGCACTTTTTATCTCTAAACAATCTTGGGAGAACAAATTTCCAAGTGTTAAATGAGATTTTAAGAAATGTAACCCGTAACAATACGGCAGAGAAAAAATGTTCTCAAAGTGGAACCAGCAGCATCTGCATCACCTGGGAGCTTATTAGACATGCATGTTCTCAGGCCTCACCCTAACCAAACTGAGTCAAAAATCCTGGGAGTAAGACCCGGTCATCTGTGGTCAAGAAGCCCTTCCAGGAGATTCCAGTTTTCAACTTCAAGCTTGAGGACCACTGGGCGGTATGTAAGGACTTGAAGAGAGCAGCTTTTACGTCTTGGCTCTGCCACTTAACGGCTATGCGAGTTGAGGAAGTTAATCTGAGTTTATGGAGAAGGATAAATGAGATAATATATTTGAAGTACTTAGCACAATGGCAGACATATAGAAAGCACTCAGTATGTGCGGAAGGAAAAAAGCTAAGTCCTAAGACCTTCAACAAGTCAGCACAGCATTTACCAGTTTAAAGGGCCTTTTTAGACTCTGGCATTGTGTTTCCAAGGAATTCAAAGTTTAGATAAATTCTGTATGATTGCATCCACTTGCAATACATGAGCTAACATGTATTGAGTATTTATTTGTGCCAGGTACCATGCTAACTTCTTTATTTACATTGCTTCATTTAATTCTCACAGTAACCATGTGAGTACATACTATCAGTTTCTTTATTTTACAGATGAGGAAACTGAGTTATAGAGAGCCTTAAGTAACCCAACCAAGTTCATGTAGCTGAAAAGTGGTTTCAGACCTGAACCCAGGTTTGAGCAATCAATTGCATTTAACTGATGCAAAAACTGATGCATTCATTTACTCATTCATCCAATATTCATTTACTATCCACAACTAGGTAATACCCTGGGAGGAGGGGAATACAAAAATGAAGAAAGATCTCCATCGCCATCCTCAAGAAATTCATGGCTGTTTGGTTGTTGTTCGGAGTGAACAAATGACAGATTGCCTCATTTTAAAAGATGATGTCATGTGTCTGTATTTAAGAGGTTGAAAAGATTTTCCATGACTAGGAGCCTCCTCCTCTCAATGGCCATTTACAGACTGAAGACCAGGCTGTCTGCGAGGCGCCAGCGTATTCCCGCTGAAACAGCTCAAGCTCAGTCTTGTAGCTCCCTGTTAGCGACGCTCAGAGGGGGCCAATCCTCGCCCCGCTGCGATGTATCGTTCACTTCAGTTCAGCTGTAAAAGCCTTTCACTCCTACCACAGGCTGATCAGTCAAACCTCGGGGAAGGAGGCGCATCACTGAAGAGCTGGTAGGGTGACTCTCTTCCAAGGATAGAACCTGTCACACCTAAAGTGACGGCTGTCACGGAATTTCTCAGAAAATGACAAAGAAAAGACTGAGGCCTGCTTCTTAGAATCGTGAAATGTTAACGCCGCCCACCCAAATCTTTGCACAAAGTTTAAGGGTGATCAGGAAACTGAGTTCCAGAGTCTCGAACCAGGTAAGAACAGGGCTCCTGGCACAATCTGTGACCCCTCACTGCCTCCTAGAGTCAGGGGTGATCATTGTTTCAAGTAGACACAGTATTGAGGGCAGCGATCATTACCTTGGAGCTAGCAAATGGGACCTTTCCTGGGAGACGGCCTGGGCGGACACCGTCCCCGGGGCCGGACTGGGGGACACCGCCACGGCATCTTCCCCGCCCTGCAGCGAGGAGTGAGGATTTGGGGACAGCGGCCGTTCCCCGGACAGGTATTCAGGTGGAACAGGGGTGAGAGCGGAACCTTTCTCCTCCGCCTCGCTCTCACTCCACCCGGGCCCAGTGGATGCCGGACGCAGTCGCGGAGGCTAATAAACATGGAGGCCGCGGGCGCTGGCGATGGGGAACGGTCCTCAGGGTTGGAGGCTCCGGGATCCACCGACGACCGGCTTTTCCTGGTTAAAGGTGTGGTGAGCTGAGCTGCGGGTGTCGGGGTGAGCTAACCCCGGACTCTGCCTGCGCTGGGGCGGGCATTCCCACTCACGCCCCGCCCTGGGAGACCTTCGCCTGGGTTTGCCCCCTGAGTTTAGCCCGTGGGGTCCGGCGGCCTGGCGGGTCCGTGGTCGTGCGGGGCGGGGGCTCCGCTGGGCTGGGCGCTGGTCCCGCGAGCGGTTCTGTGTGTGCTGCATTCCCCCATCCCCTCTGCAGTTCCTCTCGTGCCCTCCCATTTCTAACTCCCCCTGTTTCCTTTATCCTCCCCGAGAGAAACTTCACGCCGCTGTCCGGGCGAAGGGACCCCGCGCGCCTTCCCTGCCCTTGGAAATGATACCTCGGAATGACCTCAGGAACCAGAGGTCATGAGGTCATGCAGATTTCACAGCCGCTGTCATTTACTTTTGGCAAGAGCTGTTTAGCCTCGTTTTTCGAATTTCAAAAGTGATTTTGAATGTAATTTAAGCAGTACTTGCAACTTGTGTACACCTTTTTAACTTACGAGTTTTTTTTTTTCTTTTTTGTCTTTAATCTCTCTCCCTATCCTCCACGCCCTACGCCCCAAACTCTCGGCAGGTGGAATTTTCCTTGGTACTGTTGCTGCAGCGGGAATGCTAGCCGGATTTGTTACAACATTATCATTAGCTAAAAAGAAAAGTCCTGAATGGTTCAATAAGGTTTGTGACCCCAAAATCTATTCATAGCATTGTTATTGTTTATAAATAAATAGCAGCTGTTTTTCATAGGAAAAATAAAATATCGATGGCCTTTCATGTTGCTTTTAGAAGCAAACCTGTATACATCTCAAAGATTGAACAAAGGCACAAATTAATCAGTGGTCTTTATTTCTATTTAAAAAGAAGTAATTTCTTAAATTCTGTCAGCTATTTCTTAAATATTAGAACTGTGCTTTCTTAAATTTTAGCAGAACAAGACTTTGAAAGCTCATCCAGTACATTTCCTGTTCACAACATGACTTTTAGTCTAAATCTAGGGGATTCACTATCAGTTGTAAGAGGCCCCAGTACTTTATGTATTACACAGGAAAAAAAAAGCGATACCAACTAAACTCTTGACATAGTGCTGATTGCAAGAGGCATTTCTATCTCATATATTAAAATGTTGAAATAAAGTGCATCTTAGTGTCAGTTAAAAACACATGTCAGCTCTTGAACCCAGAGACCATACCTGCTCGTGCATTGCTGCAGCCCCCCTCTAGAAAAGTGTCTGCTACATGGTAGGTGCTCAGTAAATTTTGGTTAAATGACTACTTAAGTCAGAAACTCTTACTCCATGAGCATGATTGAGCAATCACTGTCAGGGTCGTGTGTAGCTTATTTCCCTAGTTGATAAGAAATTTTCTTCATATTTGGTTGTATTTACTTGTTCTTATGTATTGTACTATCTCTGCCCTTCCCACCCCATATGGTTTAGCCATTACTTCATTGCTTCAACAAATGGTAGCTTGGGCTCTTTTATGTGTTAGGCACTATGTTAGCTAGGTGTAAGCAATACAAAAATGAGCAAAACGTATCTGCCCCTCAGGAAGCTAGCATCTGGTGTAAGAGACATACTAAACAGTCACACAAATAATTATATAATTACAATTTGGTGTTTGCTTTAGAAGAACAGTTATATGAAAAATCATAACCAGTTGAATTTCCTTAGATGTACCTTTAATAACCTAATAATCATACTTAAGCCTTATGAATACTCTAATGGTAAGAGACCACATTAAAAGTACATTCGGATCCCCCTGTGAATATCAGGGCTTATATGGAGCTTCTCAAATCACTCCTATGAACCTCATGGTCATTTCCCCCTATACTGTAGAATATATTCGGAGCAGAATATATCTTGTGGCAGAAGTCAGTAAAACTTGACTCATAGAAGGCCTATAATAGTGGAGTTTGGTTTGATTTCCAAGCTTAAGTTTTCATGTTAACCTTTGGGTCACAGATCTTTGTGAGAATCTGATGAAAGCTAGGAATTCCTTCTCAGGAAAAAAGCACATACAGGTGTTCACAACTTTGCATTTGATTTTGTTGTTCTAAGATTTGATTATCACACATGCACTTTATGGTCTAACACAGTGGTTTTCAAACTGTGGCCCACAGAACCCTGGAGATCCTTGAGACCCTTTTCGGGAGTCTGTAAAGTCAAAACTTTTCATAATAATACTAAAACATTTGCACTAATGATACAGAAGCGATGGGGGGTAAAACCGCTGGTGCCTTGGTATAATCAAGGTCGTGCCCTGAACTGTACTAGCAGTCATTGTGTTCTTCATTGCCATGTGCCTGTAGTGTTTTTTTAAAAAGCCATTATTGCATAAGAATTTCTTGTTGAAGCAGTAAAATTATTTTATCACGCCTTGACCCTCGAATGTACCTCTTTAATCTGTGTGAAGAAATGGAAAGTTCGCGTAAAGTGCTTCTGTTTTATATCAAAGATTTTTTTTTCTAGGAAAAGCGATTGTGTGGTGGATTTGCACGCTGAACTAGCTGCTTTTTTTCATGGCATGTCATTTTTACTTGAAAGAACTACTGACAAACTATAGTTATTCAGAAGTGGGTATTTGGCAGACATTTCCTTAAAAATGAACAAAATGAGCCTGTCTCTTCAAGCAAGCAATTGTCAGTATTAGTTGCCACTGATCAAATTTGAGCTTTCAAATGAAAATTAGGTTTTAGGAAATTTGTATCTGCCATTATGAGTTTGACAGCAGCTCAATACTTAAAGGCTTTTCTGATGAGATTGGAAGTAATATTAATGATACGATTTTTTAATATTTAATAAATGGTGTCAACATTTGAAAGATATATATAACCTGGTAAATCAATATTTTCTGAATGATCATGATTCATGGATAGTCAAAGTGCAAAATAGACTAATGGATTTTAATGTAACAAAGTACAGAATTCATTGATATGACTTCAGATTCCAAATTACAGCTAAACTTAAGAAAACCATTTGTCAAGTTTTAGTGTAGTATCAGATTGAAGGCTATTAAAATACTCCTCCCTTTTCCAACCACATATCTATGAGAGGCTGGATTTTATTCATATACATATCTGTTGCAAAAGCATTGCAACAGGTCCAATTTCACAGAAGCATATGAAAATCCAACTATCTTTTATTAAGCCAACCATTTAAAAGAAAAACAAAAAATGTAAAACACTGCCTCTCTTTGCACTAAATTTTGTTTTATCAGACGATTATTTTTATAAAAATATATTTATATTAACCTATAATGGGTTTTTTGTTTTAAAATGAATTAAGTAAAATTCAAGAATTTCTTAATTTTTAATACATTAGATATCAGTCAGTACAATTCATATAATCAGAGATCTTTGAGATCCAAGTATAAATGGATCCTGAGACCAGAAAGCTTCAGAGCCACTATTATGGATGATTAAATATCTAAAGTTCTGCCTCCCCTTTGGGAAAACATTTGAATTAGAGCATTACCAGGGATGCAGACTGTTTAGGAGCTAACGGGGCTTGTAGATGAGCTCAGAAGTTCTGGAGCAGCTAATGAGTTCATACTGAGCTAGCACCAGTTTAAGGATACTGCCACTCAGGCAGCGTCCTCCAAAGTCGCTGCCGGTCGGTTTTCTCTAACATTAATAATACCTAACATTTGAACGCTTACTGTGAACCAGATGCTGTTAGTAGGGTTAGGATTCATTTAACCCCCATCAAAGCCCTATGAGGTGGTATATTGTACTGTTGTCCCGATTAAACTGAGGCAAAGGAGATTAAGCAACCTACTCACCATGGCACTCTGTCCATCTTTGATTACATCTGGGGAATAAATAATGCTATTTTTTAAACTATTTAAATGGATTTCTGTCCACTAGCTTGGGAATCTGGGTATTAATCATAATACAGATTCAGATCGCAACCCTTTTAAAAGGACTTTAAAATGGTCAGCTTTCAGTTAGAGATTGCCTACACCGTTATCATTTCAGGAAAATGAGAATCCTTCCTTTAATGTCTTATTTGCATTCTCTTAGCTGAGTCTCTTGCTAGACTGGGAGTTGAGAGCAATAGTAAGTGCTGAGTAAACATTTATTTTTCTTTCTCCTTCTTAAGTAGAAATAGAAAGGCACAAGCTAAGACGGCCAAAATAGTCTACTCTTGAGTTTCTTTGGTTGATTAAAATAATCGAGGTTTTTTAAAAAATTGGTACATATCCCATTTGTATAACATCAGTCTCATAAAATGATTGTGAGACTAATTAAGGCACTATGAGTGAAAATAATGTACATATTATATGTCTATTTGGTTAAAACAATTGAAGCAAATACAGAATAATATATACACACACAAATAGTTTACTCATCTAAAGAAATATGGTTCCCCTGCTTATCTTCATATTACAGCATGGTAAAATTCTTCAAATAACTCAGTTATTTCAAGATCTGTTTATATAATGAGTAAATAAAATAGACAAGTCATCTTTCTGCTATAGCTACAACTTCTGAGAAATTATAAAAATAAATCTTTAAAAAATATATTGCATACATTATAAAAACACAGCCAGTATTTCTATGATGTAAAGAACATATCAAAATGTATCAGATAAGAATGTTTGTAGGGGTAAAAACTAGATTGAACATTCTTTTTAAATATCAGTTTAATATGCATTAAATTCATCCCAAGATTGAACCTTCTTTTTAGGTATGCAGTTGACTTTCTGACAAATTAAACAGTTACTCTTGATCATCCCTGCACCTGTGAGTAATAGATTCATTCTTGTCACCTGCTAGAAGATAAGGGGCACCCATGTCTTAGGCATAAGATGTATTACACAGCTTTTACCTAGAGAATAATTTTTCTGTTTTATCTTGGGGATATTAAATGCCATAAGTACAATGTGATTTGTCAGATTCAACTTCCATATGCACGTGCCTTCGTTTTAATTCAAATTAAAAACAAACAATGTGGCAGTGAGCAAAAAGGTGGCTTTCATTATGCACATGTGACTAGCATATGTGTTTATATCTAAAGCTCTTTTAAAGCAACATTTTTTTTTTGGCAAGTCTTTCCCTGCAGCAAATCATCTAATGTTCATTTTGAAAATTCTGAGCAGAATTTATGAAGGTCATGTGACATATACTCCAGAGGAAAAGCTTGTGACTAGACTTTTAAAACCTTAATAAGAACAGATCAATTTTTAATATCGTTTTCACTAAAATTCATTTTCGGAAGTATGTAAAAAATAACTAATAACTCATTTCATCTCACAATCAATTTCTGAGGCTGATATACAAATGTAGCATGTAGTGTTTTTAAAAATCTAAAAGTTTGACAAAATTAAGATTTTATTGGGAATATTGCTATGTCATTAAGGGTTATTTTTATATATAGTTATCTTTTTTTTACTTTCTTTAATAAAACAAATGTAGATTTATGTAGACTTTAAAAAATATTATGTACAAATATTATACATATATAATTTCTCTCCTTCCCAGGGAAATAAGGAATTTTTAATTTAAGTTTCTAAAATAAAATTTAGGCCAAACCACTTAAACTGACTCCAGTTTAAGAATATGTGGTTAATGGTACTGCTTTTGGATAGAAATTCAGGCCAGTTGGAACTTAGTGCATTTATGTGAGCTCTGTGGTATCTGGGGAACTCTGAAATTATAGCAGTATGAGAAAATGAATATAATAAGAGAGTATATTGTTTTATCATAGAAAATAGCTAAAGGAAGAATTCTTGAAAATTTGATTGGGTCTAAGGTATATCGCAGCAAGGACTGAGTCTCTGCTGGGTCCAGGCATGCTCTGGCATGGGATACAAGTAAACGAAGTTTCTGTGTGCCATCAGTAACATTCACAGCCACAGAGTGCATGCGTAAACAAACTTACTAAGAAATGTGTTGAGCAAAAAGAAAAGATACAAAAACATACAAAAAGAAATGTGTTGAACAATATAAAAAATTATTCTAAAGAAGAAAAGGATTTACATAGAAATACATTTCCAAGTG